TCATCCCATTGAAGGTTTAGCTGCCAAATGGTTTGAAAAAGGATTTTTAATTTAGTTGTTACAGGTGCCAGCCATCCCAACGGGTCAAAAATTTTCGAGATGTCTGACAGTAAGCTTTTTTTTGTTGTCTTTTGTGGCGATGGGTTAATTTTCGACTGAAAGGTGAATATATCTTGTTTCGGTTTCCAACGAAGCCCCAAGGTTTTTGTTGAATCGGCGTGCTTAAATTCGAAGCTGTTGTCACCTTGATTGTTGCTATGATCTTGTAATGATAATTCGGGTTTGTTGAAGTTCCATTTTCTCAAGTTGAAGCCACTTGACTTGAGAAGCTGAATTAAATCTTGTTGTAGTTTTATTGTTGAGTCAATAGAATGCCCTCCATGAAGCACGTCGTCCATGAAGAAGGACTCTTCTAAAACCTTAATAGCATCGCTGTTATGGGAGTAATTAGATTTTTCATCTTTCGCCAGCTGTTTCAGCGTCATCATTGCAAGAAATGGTGCAGCCTTTGTACCGTAAGTCACGGTACATAACTGAAATTCCTCTAATGTTGTTTGTGGTGAGTCTCTCCAGATGATTTTTTGCAGCTGTTGATCTTCGGGATTTAATCTTATCTGGCGAAACATCTTTTCCACATCTGCAGTAAATGCGAATTCGAACTGTCTCCATTTCAATAATAATCCTTGAAGGTCATTTTGTAAGTTTGGTCCCGAAAACATGGCATCGTTGAGACTTGAACCCGTTGATGTTTTACTCGAGCCATTGAAAACCACTCTCAGTGCCGTAGTTTGAGACTCGGCGCGTTCTATACCGTGGTGAGGTAAATAACATTGAAGTCGGCCGCCCGCGTCAGCGGGTTTCAAATGTCCGAGCGTTAGGTACTCATTTATAAACAGACGATAATTATTAGCGAATATATTGTTTCTATTAAATTTTTGTTCTAATTGCATAAATTGCGCAACGGCCTTGTTTCTTGATTTGCCGATAAGCTGTTGATACCCAGGCTTGAGAGGCAGTCTGACCTCATATCTACCGTCCTGGTGTCTTTTTGTTGTTGTTTGGTAATAATCAATGCAGTACTGATCCTCTGATGATAAATTTGACTCTTCTGTTATATCTTCCGTTTCCCAAAATCGTTCTAAATTCTGTATGTTATTAAGGACCACATTGCAATGATAAGTTTTTGTACAACAGTCATTATCCATCCGAGACGTGTATTTTGTGCTCGGCTGTGAAGTTGATGGATCTTCATTTCTACATATACCACTCAGGATAATATTGGAATAAGTTTCTGCTCCCAGTAGAATGTCAATTGGTCGACTTATATTGAAGTCGGGATCGGCAAGCTGTATGTTGTTCAAAAATGGCCACGACATTTTTGAGAATGACTGATTTGGTAACTGTTTGATCAAAGTCTGCATCACAAAAGCTTGAGTATCAAAGGAGTAGCTCTCATTCATTGATGAGCATGAGAGATTGACAACACCCTTACAGCTATTAGGTTTTACACCTATTCCAAAAATGCTACCCTTGCAATTCTGTCTCGGCAATGATAAACGTTGAGCGGCATTTTCTGAAATAATCGACACTTGCGAGCCTTGGTCGATAAGGGCCCGCATTGATTTGAGAGGCCCATCTGCGGCCCGCACCTTGAGCATCGCTGTTGCTAATAATATCTCGGATGAGTTATCGTTTTGTTGAATAACATTAGAGTTACTACTGGTACGCTGTTCTAGCCCTGTTGACGTGCTAGGTTTCGTCGTCACAGATTGCTTGACTGTTTGAGATGCAAATGCTTCATGTAGCATGGTGTTATGTTTACCATTGCAATCTCGACATCTTCTTTCGGAAAGACATGATTTTCCGTTGTGACTGAACAAGCAATTCTGACATACATTTAATTTTGTCACGGTCTTTCGTCTTGTCTGTGGAGACATGTCTATAAATTCTTGACAATAAAATAATCCGTGGTCATCGTTGCAGTGTGGGCACTTGTACTTTGTGTTTGAAGAAGTAAATATCTTGTTACTTAGCGGTTGCGAAACCGGGGCGGCTTGATTGCTGACATAAGAATGTTTGTTGTAATTTGATTTACCGAAAGACTTTGTGTTGTAATTATTCGAATTGCTTGATTTTTGTGGAATATAATTTTCTTGTTTTTTCCTAGCGGATTCCATTGACATTAATGTTTGTTCTAGAAAATCAAAAAACTCTTGCAATTTCGGCAATTCTCGAGAGTTCTTTAAGGACTGGATATAGCCTTGATGAGTTTCGTTGTCCAATTTTTGGCTTAAAATGTGCACTACTACGGGGTCCCATGTGGTAATATCCACCCCTAAGTTTTTTATTGCATTCAGGCTCTCCAAGGTAGTGTCATATATCCTCTTAATATGATTAACTGATGCTTGATGTGAAGCAGGCAGGTTCATAATATTATTCATGTGTGACGTAAATATTAATTTGGGATTATTGTATCTGTTGTTAAGTAAGTCCCAGCACGTGACGTAGTTATCTGAACTTATTTGCAGATGCTGGATAATCCGTTCGGCTTCACCCCTCACCTTACTTTTTAGAAATTGCATTTTCTGTGCACTGGACAGCGATCGGTTATTGTGTATAGATTCTGTAAAAAGATCTTTAAATGGTATCCACTGATGGTAATTTCCGCTGAATATGGGTATTTCGAGCTTCGGTGTAGATTCTTTTTGGTGAGCTGTTGACCATATTTTTTTGTTTATGGATTTCTTAAATTCGTTGAAGATACGTTCGTTTTTGGAATACTCTTGTTCATATGCTTGATTCTGGCCTTCCAGTTCACTGTCCAGTTCCCAGTGCAGCGCGTCGATAGCGTTCCATCTGGTATTCAATGTGTTCAAAGTGTCTTGCAATTTCCAGTTTTCATGTAATAAATCGAGGTTAATGGTTGATATAGTTCGCTTAAAGGCTCTGAAGTGGCTGATTTGTTTGCGCAGCATCTCGTCGAGCTTGCTGTTGGTACCCCGATCTTCCTGCATGGGTTTTGTTTGTTGATAAGGTGATGGGTTGAATGTTGTTGGTTTCAGCACCGATGTCGATGGCTGTGACTTCTCATCCATAGGTCGCTGGTTCAAATCCGGCTCGAAGGACCATAAAGATGTTGAGTTTCCTCTACACCTTTCGAGATGATGATGTTAAATGATATTTTGGTGATAAATTGATAACACCGATTATGTTGAAACTGTTATGTTTATTAGCACACGCGGTACATATGACGTCCGAACGTGAACTGATTTGCTTACGCTAATACAATTACATATTTACTTAATAATACATAAAATTATAAATTGCCACGTAAGGAAATGTTTTGTTTGGACTAAACAGACACAGTCAATAAAGTTCAGTTTTAATTTGAAAAAATAAATAAATAATCAAAATATTCAATTAAAATCGCTACTGAATATAATTTATTAGAACATATGTGATTTGCACTTGTATGAAACTCAAACACGTATTCCGAATATACAAACTAGAAACATGTGGATAAATATTATAAATATGAATACCTATAACTGTTACTTTATTACAAAAAATAAAGATGTGGTTATTGGTTCTACTACACCAATGGTCAAGAGATGGCGCTGTAGTCTCCTGAATCGCGCTTTGGTTCTGTTGTTCCAGATTAATAAATACTTTTGATATTATAAATATGAATACCTATAACTGTTATTTTATCACAAAAAATAAAGATGTGGTTTTTGGTTCTACTACACCAATGGTCAAGAGATGGCGCTGTAGTCTCCTGAATCGCGCTTTGGTTCCGTTGTTCCAGATTAAGAAATACTTTTGATAGGCCTTCACAATGCAGTCGTTAGCACCCACTAAATAGAGATTCTATTTCTATTTTGTTGGTAGATTTTCTTAATGTGCGGTAAACACAAAAGTAACAGCCTTTAGCGCTTTAGCTTTAGCGACCAACTTCATGCTGTTAAAATTTTGGGTTACAGTGATGCGCGCGCATCTTAAAATTTCACTCTCATCATTTTTTAGATCATCATTTTAGCGCCTAAAGAAGTATAACTTCAAAAACGGCTGAGTTACGCTACTGCTCTTGTATGTATTGTGTTGTTGGACACTACCAAATTGGTATTGCAGTGTTGCCAATTTAGTTGATTTCCACTTTAACTGGTGGTTTCAGCCTTCTTTTTAGTGTAGCGTAGTTTTGGAAGGAAACCGCCGATATTGATGATATTCCTACAGCCAATGCCGGGATTTTATTCAGATCTCTGATCGAGTCATTAACCAGCCGTAAGATCAGATTGAAATACGTAGTATGCTTTGGCTCTGACGGGTGTTATGTCATAATAGGTGATAATTGTCTCCGTAAAAACAAGACTAATTCTGGATTTTCCTATAATCCTAATAACAAATAGCGTTTGTCACTCGGCCCATTTGTGTGCCAGCGAAGAAGTTTATAAAAGCTACCTGAAGGTGTAGAACCACTTGCTCGAGACATATATAATTTTTTAAACATAGTGAAAAAAAAAATGTACGAGGTTCTTAGCTGCTTACTTACGAGGAAAAAAAAATCTAAGGTTGGCAACCCTGGTAACACTGATTCGTGCGTGCAATTTTATGTTTATGCCGTCGGTCAAATTTTGCAGGAATTTGTACCTATAACCAATTAACCATACCTCACCAATTCTTTATTTACCTACTGACTGTACGTACTTCGGCGAAGATTGGAAGACCAGTAGTGCCAACGTTGTTTTAATAATATGACTCCCTTGCAGAGAGTATTTTGTTGTAAGTATTAATATTTTTTTTTGCTTTTCCAACACAAATCTACATAGATACATAAAATCTCATTAGATTTGGACGGTGTTAGAGTTCCAGTTTGGTCATTACAACTTTTGTTCGCCAATTAGCTAGATGTAGTCACTTCATTTATATCACAAGTAACTATACTTCATTTCAGAGTTCTATGAAAGTTGCAAAACAAATTCATTCGATTTTATATCAATATGGAACCAATTACTGATGTTATTGACTTTATTTCTTCATTATTGGATTCTGGCAAATACAAAGAAGCTCTTATTGTGCCAAACGAACAAAAATATATTGATAGCTTTAAAGATAATTGTTGGGATTTAATTTCTGTCATAATAGGCAAAGTTGAAAATGATACCATTATTATCAAACCTTCTTTATATGGTGCCTGTGAAGAATTATTGTACATTATTATTGAAAAGTCCACACCTGAAGAAGCCTTATTGGAATTCATTGAACAGATTGAAGTTGCTAAAAATGATGCTCAGTTTGGTCTTATTTTGGGACCGCTAAAACAGCTTCTTATAAAGCTTTCTGTAAAGAGAGGAAGATCATTAGAATGGTGCCTTAACTCCATTAGTACATATATAGAAAATATACCCATTCCTGAACATCAGTTGGAGGGTAAAGAGCGTTTATTGTTGGATTCAGATAATAACATCAGAAGAATAGTAAAAGTATATACAATGTTGCCACATTTTTATGGCCCATTTATTACTGAGCTAACTGTAACAGGCAGTAGTAATGACAGTAACAGAAAAACAAAACAGATCATAACTGCATTTCTAGTCAGTTTACTTGGAAAACCCTTAATATATATTGATTTAGATCCTGATACTAATGCACAAAGTGAAGCACGGCAATGTTGCAATGCAATCATGAATGATATATGCAAACTGGAAAAGAATGTCTTTCGAATATTGGGGTTATTAGAAGAATGCCATAAAGAAATTATTAAAAAAGCAAAGTCTTACCAAAATGCTAATAACGATGAAGAAGTTGACCCTTATCATCATAGAGAGAAAATAAACATGACCACTCTTTCAGGCCTAGCTTATGTTATTTTTTCTGGTGATTTTGAATTTCCAGATTTTACTATTCCACAAGTATATAGTATTGAGTTTATTGTTTATACCTTATTGTTATCAGTAAACTATTTACTAAATTTTGCTCAATATGGTCCTCTTGCTAAAGGAATAACTCTTTGTAGAGCAGTGTTAAATAGATTGTCAGATAATATTCCCCATACATTACTGTCATCTTCAGTGCATTTTGAATTATTAAAAGGTTTATCTAATGTAGCCATATACTCTGTATATGAGCCTTTACGTAAAAGTGCTGTTAATTTGTGTGGAATTCATGTCAATAAGTTTGGTTATAAAGGCAGATGCATACTTATAAAATATTTGATTGAAACAACTAACCATTCAGGAATGATTGGTTATGCTATTACTCTTTTCAAAAATTCTATTGATCAAGCATTCAAAGATGCTCTTCTAGATGACTGTTTCAGTGGAGCCCAATTTGAATCTATGATAAAAAAGATCTGCTATTTACCTCATGGTGCTGAATCAGATTTGGTAGAATTGGCAGATCAAATTATATCATCCCTCAATTTTCTGAGATATTTATCCATTAAAGATATTGATAATAGGACTGGAATTAGAGATTGTTATCCTGTTATTGAAAGAGATTATTTAGATAATTTGAGAACAGGTCTTAATATGTCAAAGGCTCATTATGAAGTGAAATTGAAAGATTTAGAAGAAGGGAAACAAAATTCAGTAAAGAAAGTTGATGTTTCTTTGACTGTAGGAGGAAATGTGTTAGACAAGATACCTATTGAAAATAAAAAGGAGATCATAAATTCTGCTCTTAATGTTTTTCATTTGATAGAAGGTCTTGTAGCTAGATTATCAGAATGTGTAAACATCAATAAAATGAAAGCACTAAGCATGGATTGTGATTGTTAAATTCAATTTATTTTAATAAATTATTGCTTAGCTTCCTATTTATTTTCATTTAATATACTCTTACCTAATAAATTTACAAAAAGTGATGTATTGCCCACATAATAAAACATTACATTGGTATTCTTTCCCTTTAATGCACATTAAATAGTACAAAATTAGTTATAGATTGGTTTTGTTAACAGCAATAAGGAATGGACATAAATATGTTTTGCCCCTTGCATCAGTTCCTGTCAACAAAAGCCAAAGAGTTATAAGAAATTATTGTCAAAGTAAACAAGACAAAGAAGCAAAAGAAATACCTACTAAGTTACCAGTCACAAATATATCAACTGAACATGAAGAGCAACAATATGAAGAAAATGTGAAAAATCATATCTTATTTAAAGCTCTGGAACATGTAACAAAAACAGGTTGGTCTGTTGAGTCACTTAGTGCCGGTGCAGAAGCTGCAGGATATCCTGGAATCACTCATGGTTTATTTCCTAATGGAGGAGGAGACTTGGTTCATTATTTTAATGTCAAATGTAACGAAGATTTAGTTACACAAATGAAAAGTGTAAGTTTATTCAACTAGCAGCCTATCTTAATTATGTTTGGAGTAATCTGTTGATTTATTTTTGTTCAAATATTATTTTACAGTGGCCTAAGGAAGATTTGAAAGCAAACAGAGTGCCATCCAAATTCATCGAGAATGCAATATTGACCAGGCTTTTGATGATAGAACCATACAAGTAAGTGAGAAGGGATGTTACGTGAACCCACCAGAAGTTCATATTCTAAAGACTGACGATTTGGATGCGGCCGAAAGTCATGGCTGAATGTTGTAATTTTTTTGCCCTTTTAAAAAAGGCTCAGGTATGGTAGAAGTACTTCACAAAGTGCAAGGTTGGCCCCTTATGTGAATCTGCCGCGCTCGAGTAATTCTCAAAATCCCCGCTTCGGGTCCCCCTACTAAGTATCTATATGTAACAAAATAAACAGACCCACTCTTTTTAATCCCTCTAAAATGTTCCTACAGGAATACAGCTCTCCAACAATATTTGGGCAGAAACACACTTTATTTAATCTGAGAAAACACACTTTATTGCGATTCAAATAAGAATAGGAAAGCCAATGACCTCCAGCTGTCATATGTCGCTTGAAAAGTACGGTTTGCAAAAAAATCTCGGAACACTTTTTTAGCACTCAGCTGATTTTAGAATAAAAACCAAACATTTTTAAACAAACAATAACAAATGTTGATAATTGATATTAGTTTTTTCATTTATTGAGCTTTGGCTATGAATGGTTGAAAACCGTCAACCAAATGTCACTTTATGATGCGTTCAAAAACTTGATTTAAAACTTTCGTTTACATATAGGATGCAGGTTCGTATGTGACCTGCATGATTATTCACAACTTCTCCGGCGGTAATGCAGAGATGAGCGAAATTGAAGAGCTAGATTCTGATTAATGTTTTTTTTCACACAGTCTTAATTAAGAAATACTATTAAAAATAGGTTGTGTTCTTCCTCAACCTTAGTAAATTAATTTTATTAAAAAATCTGATGTTTTGTCTCATTTAATCTTAGTAAATAAGTTTTATTAAATAGCAACATTTTTTTGCTCACTCTACCTATTTGGTTCGAATTGACAGCTATGACGTTGAAATGTGGCGCCCAGTCGGTCCTATTCTCAGTTGAAGCATTATATTAAGTTTATTATAAAATTATACAAAAGCCATTTACTAATCGTTCATCCGATCGTACGTAACAATGAATAATATCAGTTCATAATAATTATGTACTATTTAGCCATTAATTTATTTCTTCCGATAATGTTTAGACCCACAGATAAATAATGAAATAGGTTAAACAATTAGAATGAGATTGCGGCCATATTTACCGAGATCTCGTTTTCATTGTTATCTCGGCCAAAAATCAGACGAGATCTCGCGAGATTAGGCTTGCCAGGCCATAAAATGCAAAGGCCGGACTGCGCACTATATAAGGCCTGACATTTTGCCCTAAAAGCCGGACATATTTTTTTTATTGCCAAAAATAATGTTTTTACAGCGGGGTTGCTGAAAAAAGATTTATACGTGATGTTAAGTGAGAATGAGATCGAAGATTGAAGTGCCAACAGTTTGTTCTCTTGTCCGTTCGGACGTTCGTCCGCCCATCGTCGTACGAATCGCCACTCTGATAAAAAGCCTGACAGGCCAAACACGTACATATTTGGCCGGACGCGACCGCAAAAAGCCAAACATGTCCGGCTGAAGCCGGACACCTGGCAAGCCTACGCGAGATGAACGAGATTGCACAAAATGCTTTTGCTGCGCCACCTTATACCCTGAGTGCACTCCGATTGCGCGCATACTGTGCCATAACAAGGCTGTCTTATCCTGTCTTGCATCGTTTTTATTCGGTTTCAACCAATAATCATTTATTTTTGTTTTAGGAGCACCTGGCCTAAGGCAATGGCTATTCAAACCCTACCAAATAATGTATCCAATTGTTTAGCTACGTTACTTTCTTTAGTTGACGATATTTGCTATCATTCAGGAGACCGAAGTGTTGATGTAAGTCTAGTAGAAATTGCTTACCTATGCACAAGAAATTCTGCTAGTAAAATAAGTAAATCTCAAACTAAACTGAGGCCATTGCGTTGGTAACCGTTTGCGGAGACGTGTGCAGTCTTCCTCATTTTACTGGCTCACAGTGTAATTTCGGGGCCAAAAAACGATCACGTATTTTTGTGGTAGTGGTATTCACAACTTTGAATGTAAAACTCCCAAGTATCAATTTTAATAGAAATCAAGTTATTTATTTTTCTATGGTTTTCAGGAAAATCATGGAAGTAGCTTTATCTCAATAGTTATATAGTACTAGTGGCCCGCCCTCGCTTCGCTTCGGTGCACATTGTGTTATTTCACCTCAAAATTACCACTCCTTTGATTAAAGGTGAATCAGATAAAGCTCTTCATTCTAAGCGCAAGAGTAAAACTCCCACGATTCTAACTATAATAGTTTCGATGAAATCCCGGTTTTTCTTTTTTTGTACCACATTATGAAAAAGAAATAAAAAAAAATTTTTGTCTAAACTATTACAGTTATTTTATTTTTTACATTGTATTTCAAAAGGTATTATTTTTATCCATATTATGAGTTCTATGGCTGCCCTAGAGCTTGTAGGAACCGAGAAATCGGCGATTTAGTGATTTTCGTTTTTAATTTTTTGTGCTCATGTTATGCAATATTAAAGCTTATAATTTAGTTCAAAATGTAGCTAATAATGTAGACTATCAACTCAAAAAATAACAAGCTTTAACTCGGTGGTATATCGGAAATATTAAGAATTTAAATTTGTGGGACAATGTCCCACATTTTGAAGACTTAATTTTGAAAACGTAGTTATGCTAGTTTTTAAATATTATACTATAATAACAATATAAATACGTTGTTATTATATTATTTACTATTTATATAAGATTATAAATGTGTTTGGTATGTTTGTTACATAATCATCCACTTTTGTGAGCCAACTTGTTTGGATGAAATGTGGCACACAGGCATTAAGTTCTTCCCTATTAAGAGCAAATAAACAAATAAATCTGTTTAAACATTATCTGTCGTAAACACACTGTCTTCGTTATGAAGAACAGTGGTGAATTCATTTTTTTCACTTTCTATGCATGCAGTTTCGTCGTCGACATCACTGTTATCGTCATATAAACATCCCGAACTGTTCACATTCGTTATTCACAGGATCTCAAAGATGTTGAAGAACAAATTTTTGTGTTCCCTAGGGTTAGCTTAGTTAACTACTTTTCAGAGTAACATTTTTAATAAAAATTTAGTAAATGTTTTCTTTGACACAAAAAGAGGATTGTATATTAAGCTTATTCTTCCATGTTTATACAGAAAGCCCGGTGCATCACTAAATGAAGTAAAATAATATCTTGCTAGTAATCTTTATATCAAGAATTTTTCATTACATTATTTTCAGCTGCCCCAGACGGAAGGTCAGCGACCCATGCTTCCTCTCCCTCCATTGGCGGAGCACTGGTCCTGATTATTGTTGCGTCCAGAGCTCCCCGGTCTACTCTTCCAGGACGAGTTCCTCCAGTCGTCGCCTGTGGGCGATAACTTTCTCCGGTGCTAATCGGTCCTCTCTCTGCCAGGCCTTCGCCCTTTCCCAATATAGGCGGGATAGTGTCTTCGCCTCCAGGGCCCACGGGGGGGGGGGGACCCTGTTATTGCGTAGGAGACCGCAAACGACGTGGTATAATAGGCTCGCGCAGCCTTTGCGCCACTATTCTCAGCGGCCTCTGCAGTAACCTCGCTCCTCTATAGGCTCTGCCCAGATGGGCGCCCCATAAAAGGCTATGCTCCTAATGACAACCAGCGTATAGTTTGCGACAACTGACGCTGGGGCCACTGACTTTTGGCAACAGCCTGCTGAGTGCCGCTGCTGCACTAATCTGTTTTGGGGCCAGTTACCTGAAATGAGCATCGAAGCGCCACTTTGCATCCAGCACCAGCCCCAGGTATTTCAGGGTGGACTCTATGGGCACTCTGGCTTCATCCACCTTGACATAGGCCCCGGCCAGTAACTTGCCCCTGTAGCTATAGAACATTATAGCCCATGTTTTTTCAGCTGTCACCTTTATGCCGAGCATGCTTATCCTCCTGACAACCTGCGAGGCACTCGCTGACCCCAGCCGTCGGATGTCTTCATAGGTTTTGCCCCGAACAGCGATCAACGTGTCATCTTCGTCTATCGTAGCAAATGACCGTTGTGCGGGGCAAGAGCATCCCCCTCAACACCCAGTCGTAAGCAAGGTTCCACAGGAGCGGTCCCAGCACCGACCTTGCCTCATGCTCCACGCCTTGACGATGTCGCTGGAGTCATTGCATAGGAGCTCTCTGTCTCGCAGGTAGTCCTCAATCACTTGCCGCTGGTACAACGGCACCCCATGGTGGTGCAGGGCCTTTGTGATGCAGCTGTAGGGGACCGTGTTAAATGCACTCCCTATATCCAGTGATATAGCGAGTACACTCTCCCCCCTCCCCACCGCCTCTTCCGTCAACCTCTCGAGCTCCTGCACCGCGTCATCGTCGTCGTCCGCGCGATTTGGACATATCAAGCGATAAAACATTTTAGAGATTGGAGCATAATTACCCCTAAAGGAGCAAAGTGCGAACATTTTACGGTATTGATTTGATTTTTTCATTCTGTATTCGTAATAATAATGAGGATTGTTTAATATAGAAACTAAATCCTAATACTTGTTAATATAGACGAAAAATAATAAAAACGAAAATAAGAAAATTGATAATATTCTTCTTAGGCTTGTTGAAAATATATCGATGTATCGATATATCGATATTTTTTGTTCGATATATCGATATTTTTTGCCGATATATTTTGATTCGATATATCGATACATCGATACAAAATAACCAATATCGAAATTCGTATCAAAAACGATATTTTTTTAATTATTAGCGGCATATCCCGATCTAACTAAATTCGTATCTGGAAAAATCGTAACTGGATCTCATATTCATGATATTCAACATATCTATGATCTGTGCTGTATTTAGTATTGTCTATGTCATCATTCGAAAATAAGGTCTATTTGTAGGGAGATAATTTTCGTTCCATTATTATTCCGCGTGTCATATTTCGTGATCTAAAGTACGATATTTTTGGGAAAATTGGTCCGATATATCGATGTTTTTTTCGCGATATATCGAAGCCGATATTGATATTTTTTTAAATATCGATGTATCGATATATCGATATTTTTTTCAACTTTCAACATCCCTAATTCTTCTTGTCCTACATAATTAAATGCTATTGAATTGATTCATTTTGTGCATTTTATAGAAAATGCACAGCATTAACAAAACAAAAATTATTGCTAACTATTAAAGAATTAAGTGCAATTTCTATTTTAATGAAAAAAAAATTAAAAAATTCATAAGTTCTGTTTAAACTGAAACTCCTGCATTCAAAATTATAAGCACCATCGATTAGGCAAAAAAACATGTGACCGTTTTTTGGGCTGAAAATTATACTTTGCGGCAAGTGGACCAACTGGCGAGCTTCATAAAACACGACACTAAGAATATTATTATTAGAATATTCAAAGTAAAATGAGCTCCTTGAAAAAATTACCATAGCTCAAAATGCCACAGGTTCAAAACGTCCTTCATTTATAGTTGCGAACGATTTGTTCTCTTGTTTCAGCTGCGTATGCATGGTCATTTTTGTGCTACCGACATTTGAGTTTGTTTTTTAAACATTGAGTGTTTCGATTGTTGATCGAAGATTTTCTATTTAAATTATTAAATGTTCATTGAGCGAGCGCTAATACTTGTGTAGTGTGTCCAGCCTTTTGTGCGCACTACACAGTGTGATACCAATAAGTATTAAATGATGTCGATTCTGCATGATTCTCTAAAACTAAACTTAAATTTGACAACTGTGCACCCTTGTCCTTCTCTATACAGAATGAAAAGGTGAGACTGACCTTAAATTTAGTTTTAAGTTGAGAGAATCACGCCAGAATTGACACCAATTTCGCTTTAAGAACCACCGACTCCCTAATTCTTATTTGTCCGTAATCTTCTTTATAGTGATGTTTAAATATATTTTTCATTTGGTTTACAGTTTAACTGGTACATTCGACGTGTAGGATTAGCTGGTATTTATAAAGCTAGCGAACTCTTTTATTTAACCGATAACAGTCAAGACCATGGTGCAACAAGAAATTTTGTATCATCGCGAATTAGAGATGCACAACTTATACAAACAGCACTCAATTTGAGTCCAGTTTCTGCTGCTCCACAAACATTAACTGCAGCTTTTGTGACGGTAATATTGTACTTCTATTAAAATAGAAAGCTTTAAAAAAAATTTTTCATTGAATTAGTTATAAAACAATTTTATCTATTATGGAGGCCCTACACGTTAGGTTTTGCATGATGGTTTTAACCGTGCATTCATAACCGACATGCATAACCGAGTTACATGCACCCACGGACCTGAAAAAAAGACGGACGTAATATCAAAGGCAAATCATGTGAAGCATGACAATGACATGTAGGTCAGACAAAATCGTGTGTTGTACACTACCTACACTCACACTAATGCACCAGGTCGGACAATCCGCTGCCATTTGAACTCGCGTGACAGCGCCAGTCACACGTTCAATTGCTCCGATATATTTTTAAATAAATGGCGTCTTGTGTGGTGAAATCTTTTAAAAACTACACGAGTAAATTTGAAAAGTCACAAGGAATCACCTACTATGCTTAAGTATTGACGATTCTTGATATTTTTTTTATATTATATTTTATTTACAAGGATGAAAATGGTAAACAAAAATACAACTGTGTGGCTACTTTATTTACGGGAAATTTTCCCTAAAAGTAGGGAAATTTGTATTTCTTGCATTTGTGACTAGGCAAGATAAGATTTCGTAAATTTTTAGGGTTCCTATCGCTAGTTAGTTTCACAGAATTTCATAATAAATTTTATCTCAGTACGACTTGACAGGGCGCTGCGGCTCTTGCAAAAAATATATTATTAGACGAAAGGTACATCATGTTGCGTCTCTTTCTACGTTATAGGATTGGCATGATATCTCCTTTCCTCACTCTGTCAGTCTTTAAATACCTACTCAATCTATGAATGAAATACTTACATTTGAAAGAAGAAATAGCAATATTAGTCTATTATATTTTTATTTTAAGCATTAATCTGCGCGATTTATGTATATTAATGTATGTTATTAACCTCATACATACTATTAAGACACTAACATTTATATGTAAACAATAAAGTTCTTTTTACATAACAAGTGCTTTCTTTTCTATCTCGGTGTTCCTAAAAATAATTTGATAGACCGTTTAAATTGCTGAAAAATCAGGAGCTCACAACGAGTAAAAGACGTGGTAAATATCCCGTTTTTATAATATATATTTGATTACATAATGTTAACAATGTTTTAGTTTGGGAGATTTAAAAAGTAGGGAAATTGATGATTTACCCGACAACCCTGAAATCACGCACACGCTGTAAGCGGGCGGCCATTTGCATGCTTCACTCGAGATAAGACGAGGTTACGTCCGTCTTTTTTTCAGGTCCGTGCATGCACCGAAAACTGTACAGTTTTATCACATACACGTAATACCCGCCATACACACTACGATAAATTGTTACGATTAGACTGTACAGTCCGAACGGTACCGATAAATCGTAGCGTGTATGTTATAAAACTGCACAGTTTCCTATACTAAACGAAATCGTATAAACTGTACCGTTCGAACTGTACATTCTGATCGTAACGATTTCTCGTAGTGTGTATGGCGGGTATAAGGGCTTGCATGTCGGTTATGCATGTTCGGCTAAAACTATCATGCAAAACCTAATGTGTATGGCCTCCATTAGGTATGTGATTACTGGCGGAAGCCTTTCACGCCCCATGGTCATCTCTTGTGAAAGTGTTTTAATGTGCAGGAAATTAAGAATTAGTCAATTGAGTTCTCTTGAGTAATTTTACACATATGTTTATAAGAGCAGTAGATATAAGAAAACAAAAAGATATGGCATTCGCTGCTCAAAAGTGTACTGCTTAAATTATGGTGCATGAACACAATTCGCTTCAGTTCAGTCACACTTTGACATCCAAACACGCTGCATGTGCACACAATATAACAATATTGCGTATATTCTGTGTTATGAAGATGAAACAATACATTTGATGCTTTCAAAAAAGAACATAAATAAGTTCCAAGATCAAAGAACAAATTCTACAGCAACACTTTTTATTTGTAATACTATGAAATCGCTTTTTCTCAAAAAAATGGTTTGTCATGAATGTTATCTACTAACTCGTCATTTGTTATCAAGAAAAGAGCAAAGATACAGCTCGGCCGTTTGTAGAGAGAGAAAAGAAGATGCAGTTGTAGATAACTAAACGGTTAATAATCACATTTTATTGGTAGCTGCCCAGTTTTTTTTTATTAATGGTATGCATATTTTACAACTGTAGTGATGGGTCATGGCCCAATTTCCCTATTCCATCTACAGGGAAGGCTTATGCCTGTGCCCCAGCAGTGAGGACATTAATAGGCTGATGAAGATGATGATGGATTATATTTCGAAATTGGAATTACGTACTGGTTACTGTGGCTGATTTGCACTATTATTACAATATTAAACTTTTATTACATTACTCTAAATTTGCCCATCAGTGTATTACATTTTTGTCTTTCTGTCAGTGAGGTCAATGTTTGTAGAACTTCCATATTGTAATGGTGTTAGTAATGGAGTTTTAAAAATATTTCGACTTTACTTGACTTCAAAATATGATTATGCTCTTGGATTTGGTAAATGATATTGTACTGTCAGTTTATCATGATCAAGATGAGGATTGCACCACATGAAACAGAAAATCTTTAAATAATTTCTACTTTCATAGTGTAATTTTAAATATACTGCTCTATTTTTCAGGCCAAGAATATATTGGGCATCAACACACTGAAGTAATAGTTCCAGAGTTGTTATGTTAAAATTTAGTTAAAATATTCAGTATTTTATTTTCAATAAATGCATATAAATTTTTAAAAATACTGTTTTATTACCCATTTAATCTCATTTGGCATAATTATGGGTATCAACAAGCAAAACAATAATTGCAGTACAGTCAGTTTTATTAAAATATTTGTTTGTATAAAATGTATAAACATTTCTATGTATTATTCATAAGTTACAGTTCATTATGTGTAAATAAGTTTACATTATATACTGAGAATGCAACTCTTGAAGGCACATAATATTTTCATTTGCTATGAAGGTACTATGTAGTCACTTCCCTGAGACACATAAGATATTAAATTAGTTGGTAAAGGTAATTTAATCCAATCATTTGCTGTAACAGTCTGTCTGATTACAAATCTGCATATCATTTGTAACGAGTCCAACCTTGCAAATCTGAAATATTAATATTATTTTTATTTATATTATAAAAGTAATGTGCTGTAATAAAGAAAATATAATAAGCTATAAATGTAATGATAAAAATACCTGTTTAATGGTCTTGCTAATTTAACTGGCATTTCAAATAAGTTAGACTTTACATCCACAGCTGCACAGTGTTCAGAAATTCTGTTAACTGGTACAAATGTTTCATTGTTCAAAGAAAATAAACCATTTGCATGTCTAAGTCGAGCATGTAATGTACGACCCACACATCTGAATGAAACACACAATATGTGCCGAGAATCATAAGAATCTCTAACAAGAAATACATTATCATGCTGTCCGGCCAAGAGTTCTTCAGCTTCACTTGAAGTTATACCTCCCCAATACCAACCATGTCTATAAAAAGAAAACAAAGAAATATGTGATAGCATCTGACATTCAACCATATCTGTTATCAAGAAATTTATGAAAAAGGTACTTACTTGGATAACTGACAGTAAATAGCACATGTTTCAAGAGAAGTGTGTTGATGATGTCCTCGCAAAACTAAATGCCCTTCTGCATGTTGGCACTTTATCATTTCTTTCTTGGGTTCCGTTTCTTTAAAATCGCAATCTGAATAAGTTGTATGTTTCTCGGAAGACGTAGAAGGATGGCTTCTTTTGGTTAAGCTGCATATGTATTCACTGCTACTGCTTTTGTGACCAAAATATCTTTGCAAAGACCTAACACTACCTGTAATAAACAACTTGTTTTTCCAGAATTTAACAAATTTATTTGTGTTTGCTTGTGACTTGCGATCAGGTAGAAACACACAATTCACTATATCTGTATTATTATAATCTCTTTTACTATCGATAGTTCGTTGCGGGTGTTTACATTCCATTGGTTTCAACCATTTGCGAAGACACCCAGTAGTAAGCCATTTTTTGCGATTACAGTGAGTACATCTTTCGTAATTTTTATTCATTTCTATATCATATGGATAGACTTCGGCTAGCAATAGGTGTTCTTCAATTGTAAGTATTAGTTCAAAGTAGGTATTTACGAAATTATTAAGTACGAAGAAGACAAACCAACGAAAAACTACCAACACAATAGGTAACTTGAATTTTTTTGACAGCGCCATTTTTTTAAGATTCTCCCTGTTTAGGGAAGGCAAAGGGAACAATGCCTATACAGCCTAGTCTTCAGTTATATTAATCTTCGTTTTTTTACATAAGAATGTCGGTGTAGAGCATTCTAATGTTTCTCGGAGTGTTTGGCACGAAATGAATCGAGTTTGCTTTTTCGATAAGCTTCTGTGAGGTAGTTCACACTACAATAAAGTTCTCACGTTAAAAAAACCACTAATTCTTCAGTTGCGCAGATGGTTGTAACAGAAGATCACACCAATTTTATTTCACAATATCCACTATGAACGAATTTAAGAATATTTAAAATAAGACGCCAACCGCACTCGATGTAATCTCGCCAAAAACTCACATTTTTTTTTATATAGGAAATGACATAGCCAGGCCGGGATACAAGTTCTTAAAGCCGAATACATAGTACACATACAAACTAAAATAACGTACAAACGTGAGATGCGTGAAACAGATTACTGACAACTTAAATTTTGACACTGACATTGACAGCAGATAGAAAGAAAAGAATGTAAAAAAAACAAATCAAAGAAATTTCAATTCAATTAACATCTTCGTTTTGTCTTATTCTATAACATATCTACAGTATCAGTGTTGCCATGAGCACTGTAATTATGGTAAATGCACCGTACACAGCAAAAACCACCTACCGTTCCAGTATAACAACGATGACACAATCTACCGTAATTTGCATTTGTCAAGAAATGTTTATAGTACAAATTAATTTCTTAGCATTCGCAAATGAAACGTCACATTTGAGTTCCTCCGAACGACAAAATAATGGCTGTGAACGTAACCCATTCCCTACGCACCTTTATATTCTTACTCGGGGATTCCCCCTGCATCACGCTCTGTATCGAATACTAAAAAATTAAGTAGGCACATTATGATGTGAATTCTGGCATGATTCTCTAAAGCTAAACTTAAATTTGACAACAGTGCATCCTTTTCGTTCTCTTTACAGAATAAAAAGGAGAGATTATGTCAAATTTAGTTTTAAGTTTAGAGAATCACGCCAGAATCGACACCTATATATTAATTGAACCACCACTTGGAAGAAGAAAATATAAATAAAATATATAATAAATAAATCCAAAAATGAAGAATGGAGATAATCACAAAAACAATTAAATTTTTAAAGTATGAAACTTAGACCCTTGTTTGTGACATATGAACGAAAGGAAGATTATACTAATAATGATTCATCCATCCAGCCTTTCTCCGTCCACTGCTAGACATAGACCTCCCCCACGGAACGCCAAAATGCTGTCCTGCGCTATCGGCATCCAGCGGCAATTAATTATGATTATTAACAGCTATTATATACAACTGGCTAAAATTGTCAGTTTTTGAAATATATTCATTAAACAGTCGTGTATTTATTCACTTCTTCAAATTTATCAAGATGAATGAAGATAAATTACTCAGAATAATGAGCCCGTCAGAAGTTGCTAAGTATCTTTGCTTCTTACATTATAAAAAGAAATTATCGTACTGAACCTAAAAAAAAAGGTAGATAACCTACATAAATCCACTATTGCAACATTTTCGAACCCCTTAAATTCTAATAAAATATCTAACAGTCCAATAATAAAACATATTTATTAAAACGTATTTAGTATTCATATGGGTACGGCCAAAGTGCACGCAGATTCAGATTCAGTGTAGTTAAAGCAGGGTTTCCATAGTGGCAGCAGGCAACCTGCTTAAACTACACTGTTTATTTATTTCTCGCGCTTGTTTTCGGAATCTGAATGCACTCTGGCCGTACCCTTTGGGTAGTTAAAGCGGGGTGGCCATAGTGGCAGCAGGCAACCTGCTTAAACTACACTGTTTATTTCTCGCGCTTGTTTTCTGAGTCTGAATCTGAATCTGCGTGCACTCTGGCCGTTACTACTTGTTACTCAGTTCTAAAGTATTGCTTAGAGCATAAACCACTGGAGACGCCATACCGTTCACTCGCCGAACAAAATTTTACGTAACGTACAATTTGTCTATAAAGTCGTGACATTAAATGATGGCGCCACTAGTATGCATGTAGCAACCCTATACAGTTGGACCAAAATGATTTTGATACTAGCAGTTCATTCAAGTAAAATAGGTAATTAACAAGACACATTATACAGTCGTATTTTGTTTCTGTTTTATAAATAGTAGGTACCTATGCTTATAAAAAGTTTAGCCAAGCATATTTAATTGAATCAGAATAAAATTATTATAAATAAAATAGTACTTTATAATGTAAAAGTGTGTAATGTTGGTGATTACCGCTGAGGTGCCATTGAGACCAGAGCCGTTAGGTAATTATCAATACACACAAGTATCATCATACGACGTTTTTTAACACACTTGTTAAGAAAATAATACTAAAAATCATTTTATAGTATATAAAATACACTCGAAAACGATACTTAGTTTGTTTACGTTATTTAGGTTTGAATACCTAGATTTAAGTACTCGCCGAAAAAAAAATATATATCGAATTACCTATAGCTCACATTGAATTAATATTACAAGGTTTTTCAAAGTAGAGGTTTGTTTGTTTTTTATTGGCTTCAATTTTGGTAATAATATTGTAAAAACTCATAGTTTTTGAGTTATTTATGATAAACCGCTTTAAAACATGTATTTTTATCACGAAAAATGGCATTATTTGATCTTTAGTAACTCAGAAAGTATTGATTTATTCTAAAAAAACTTTATATAACAAATTTTGCTTAGAATTTGTCTCTGTATCGATTCCTGGATTTATTTTTATTAAAATAATTTTCACCCCCAAGAAGAAACCCCCGTTGGCACTATGTCACTTTTGTTTCTTAATGTATTCCCCACATACTCACCTATTTTCATGAAAATCGATGAAGGTGCAACGAACTCGGAGGTGAAAACCCTCATTGACTGGACTAATAGGAGGTTTTATTAAAAAAGGCAATTCCGATATCAAAACACTCCTTTTCTTATTTCAATGGACTATATTATTGCAGTATGTTTTTGCAGGAGGTTGATTTTTTTTGAGATAGTAACGGTTATGGATAAAATTATTTCTTTATATTTGAAAAAAATGTATTTATCAACAAAGCTTGACACATCACATCGCGTCAAATATCTTCAAATGGCCTGAAATGCTAGACTTATATTGTGGGACAGAGGACATCATTCTTGATTTTTTTTTTCCTAATAGATAATATGCTCTATACATTATCAGCATTAGTCTATTAATATTCCCACTGAAAGGGCACAGCACAGGCTTCGACAGGAGCTCGAGATAATAAGTTTTTTGTCACCTATCAAATTACCGACCATTGCCAAAGTTGCTTAACCTCCACGAACGCAAGCCGAACGCGCATACCACCTGGGGTATCGAGCTCCGTACGTACGTACTCAATACGTATGCCATCAAAGGCTTAGCACTCACTACGATTAAACGCCCGCGTTTAACCGCAGGTCTGAAATCGCAAAAAAATGTAACACGTAGCTTTCTATACAAGCGCATGCATTAGTGACTTTTTTCAGTGACTGATTTTAAAAACGCAACTTGTTACGTTTTAACCGCGGTTCGAAAACGCGCGGTTTTTTTGTGTCCCATAAGAACAGTATTGTGGCGCACGCACGGCGGTTAATCGCATTCGGTTTTTATTCAGTCTCGACTGTGCGAGTGCGGAGGATAGACGTTTTTACAGAGGTTAAGTCATGTCGTCCGACTCAGAAACATCGAATGTAGACTACGACAATTTATCAAAAATCATTATTATTGAAGTGGAAAAGCATTATATGACAAATCGTTAAATCAATACAGAGACAGAAATATTAAAGTCCGGCTTTGGCAGGAGGTGTATCAAAATGTGTGCAGAAATTGGACTAGCTTGTCGGAGGCAGAAAAGAAAAACAAAGGTATGTGTTGTGCTTAATTTTATTATAAAAAGTTAGTTAATAGCATCGTACTGCCAATTTAAGGCACCAGATTGAGATGTAAAGTAGTCGGCAAATAAATTTCGAGTTTGCATGACGTCACTACTAGGACGAAGTCGAGTTGGGTGCAAGCTTCTTAGTTCCGATTGGTCACATCGGCCCAAATTTTCTGGTAACTCTTTGCCATCGTATTTTCGTACGAAGTTGTGCAATATGCAGCACGCTTTGACTATGTAATCGCAAAGTTCAAGTTTTGTATCTAAGGGCCTGTGAAAAATTCGCCATTTATTGGCCATAATGCCAAATGTACATTCAACTGTTTTTCTGGCACACGAAAGTCGGTAGTTATAAATCTTTTCTTTAATAGATATGTTTCTGCTTGGGTATGGTCTCATCAAATGTTTTAAAAGTGGAAAAGCTTCATCCCCGACAAATACAAATGGCATTTCAGATCCTTCATTATCATTTGGTAGTACTGAGCATGGTGGTAAATCCAATTGGTTTGTTAAAAGTCTTTTACCAAAATTTGAATTTCGGAATACGCTGGCGTCACTATTGGATCCGTAGGCACCCACGTCAATAGCTACGAAGCTATAGTTAGCATCGGCAACAGCAAGCAGAATAATTGAATAAAACTTCTTGTAATTAAATGACTCTGAGCCGGTATAATCAGGTCTTTCGATTCTTATGTGCTTGCCGTCAATCGCGCCAACACAATTTGGAAAGTGTGTTTGTATGAAAAACTCTCGTGCTATGTTTAACCAGTCTTCTTTTGTCATTTCTTTCAAATAAGTAGGCTGCAAATATAACCACAACTGCTTGCACGTATGATGGATAATTTCACTGATAGTCGTAGCGCCAATCAGGTATTCAAAATACAACGACTTTATGCTATTTCCCGTAGCAAGGTATCTGTGAACAAGATTTTCATTTTGTTTATTTGGTTTCAGGGAACTCCATACAAAAAAAATGGAAAAACATAAAAGATTGTTTCGCTAAAGAATTGACAGCACAACAAGGCAAATCTGGACAAGCTGCCCCTTCAAAGAAAAAGAAATATATTCATTTCGATTCAATGCTT